TGCGGGGCTCGATCCCTGGACCCTGAGATCATGATCCGAGCTGAAGGCAGAAGCTTAACCGACTGAGCCACCCAGGCGCCCCCACCTATATTTTAAAGTCTCACCTTTCTTAGTCAATTCTATAGTATGTTTCCTCTTCCCCTCCCTACACGTTACACAATTTTTTAAATTGTGATTTAAAAAATTAGATTTAGGTTTAAATTAAATTTAGATTCCAGGCATCAAGGTTAAAGGCAGCTCTTCCAAGTGTCCACCAGTTAAGATTTATTACTCCCATCACCTCCCAAGCTCCCTGCTTCCAATCACTGCTCCACAAACACACTCTGCACTTCTTCCTTCTGGCTTCTGGCTCCCTGTTTCCTCTGCTTAGACACTCTGGCTCTGCCTCATTTAAGCTTCCCTGGGAGAAAATCTAACCCCCTTCAGTGCCACTCAAATTCTTCATCCCTCTGAGAGTGTTCATGTTCTTTCACCAACTGAAATGTCTCCTTCCTTTGAATCCATGTGGCAACTGGTGCTTTCCTAACAGCATTGATTATTACAGCACATACTTGCATCGATACACTGTTAAAGTCCTCTCCCCTCCCCCCTCCTCTCTCCATTCCTCCTCTTTCCCTCATGTGGAATATTACACTGCATAAAACTTGCTTCCTGGAAAGAACCCCTCTCCCTGGCATGAGTACCCCCCAATAAATCGAAGGGTGGGGTGTCCCTCAGAGTTCTCAGTCATCCTGGAGAAATGACCAGTCTCAGCCTCTCTACCTCATCACAGGAAGTCCACGTGTTCATTCCAAAGCACCTGTCACCACCCAGATACTCCTGCCCACACAGCCCTTTACACACGAGGATGACCCAGATTCCCACCTCACCTCTGCCACCAGACTTTCCAGGGGTCCTCTGGAGTTCACGGTCCATCATTACCAATATCCCCTAATACCCAGCCTTCTCTCGGACTATTAACTTTGCTTTCAGATTTCTCGCCCCCATGCTGTCCCCCCCGCCCCCAGGAGACATGGCTTTCTGCAGCTGTCTCAGACAGCGGCCCCCATACTTTACCAGGCACAGAGCCTGGGGGCAGACAGATGGCAGGTATCTCTCTGTCTGAATGAAGGCTTCTAGAATGTCATTCCACCTCCTTTGCCACCTTCTCCCAGTTCCTCTGAAGTACATGTCATCATCAAATTATATCACTCACAAGTATCTCACTACAGTCATCTATAGGCCTCTTGAAAAATCCCCTTTATTAATGGGATATTTTCAAGTTTGGCTTATTTTTCTTTCTTTCCACTACAAATGCTCTCAATACCATAAACGGTCAGGGGAAGATCCACCGGGCAATCTAATTTGCAGCATCTGACTTTTGATCACTCCCTCTCCTACCAATCTGCTCTTTACAGGGTGCAGACTGCGTTCTCCTGACATTCCTGCCCCCTCGCGGCGGCGACTTCTCAGTGTCCTCTGAAGGATTCTCTCCCTGGTGTCCAAGTGGTGAGTGCCAGGGCTTAGTCTGAGAACCTCTCTGTCTACACCCATATTCTAGGTGATTTCATCCTGGCTCACCATTTCTTCCCTGAATTTAGATCAGCATCTGTGACTGCCTTGCCATATTAAAAATCTCCAAGAATGAACTCAAGATTTCTGCTACTGCAGTACCTGGGAGAGGGATGGGGAACAAGACCTCAGGGTCATTCTTGATTTCTCTCATGCCCCACATATAATGTCAGCAAATCCTCTTGGCTGTCTTTGACTCCCTCCTGACCCTCTCCTTGGCCGACCGCCATGGTCCAGCCCACTGCCACATCTCTCCGGGAAAGTAGTACACGGGGCTCTGTGGGTCCTCGTCTGAGAATACTGTTCACCACCCCCATGCTAACCCTGCACAACATCCAGAACAATCCTCTTATACTGGATTATGTCATAGCTCTGAATAAAACCCTTCAAAGACTTCTTTTCTAACATATTGAGGGTAAACCCCATATTCTACATTTCTAATCCTGGGCTACATTTCCAATCTCATCTCCAAAGAGTCTTCCAGCCACACAGACCTCCATGCTCCCTCTAGCTTTAGGGACTTAGCAGTGGAATGAGCAGCACGCTCCTGACCTAGGAATCCACAAGTCTTGGTCTTGACCACAGGACTTTGTATTAAATAGCTACCAGTTTTATTCAACAGTGACTTGTTTCTTTCACTAGTTTGTAGTACTGGGGTGGTAACTCTTTTAGTTTGTTTTTGAACAGCTCTATGTTCAACTTCAAGAACAGTACGCACTGTGAGTACTCAAAAAAATTTGCTGACTAGATGAATGAACTGAATCAATCAACACTTCATGGGATGAAGTAAAATAGGATAAAAATCAACTCCTTTGGAGTTGCTTCTTACTTGCAAACCATAATATGATTTAGATATAATGTGACTGACACATTTGTGGACCACTTTTGGTTCTAAGTGGTGATTCAGATCAGGAGTCAGTTTTTGGCACTATGAAGGGGCTGTTTTGCAAACACATTATACATGTTCATTTGCTTGTTCATTTTCCTCTTTCATACTTCGTGTGCATAAGATGATAAAGCTATATGTAAGAAGAGTTCTAATCGTGGTTCTCCTGGTAACAAGAAAAGAAAGGCAACTAACTGATCATGAGTGAAACTAGAGGCAACCAACAGTTGGATTTGCCTAGGGAAATTTAGGTTTTATGTGTGTATATTAATGCTACTTAAAAAATATTCTTAAAAATACCTTCAGAAAAATAACTGTAATTAAGAATATAAAATGCTGGGATGCCTGGGTGGCTCAGCTGGTTAAGCATCTGCCTTCAGCTCAGGTCATGATCTCAGGATCCTGGGATCGAGTCCCACATCGGGCTCCTTGCTCAATGTGGAGTCTGCTTCTCCCTCTGCCCCTCACCCCACTCTTGTGCTTTCTCACTCCCTGACAAATAAATAAAATCTTTAAAAAAAATTCTAAGTAGGTTTGTGATTTTTTTCTCACATATCTGAGTTTTTTTAAACTTTTAATAAAGTGCTAAAATTATTAGTGTTATATTTTACATGTTTCAGATTTTGAATTTAAAAAAATATTGCAGAAAAAATAATTTAGTACATTATTTCTTCAATTAGAAAACAGTAATTTTATATTTGCCACTAGAAACTCCACTTTACCAATCTTTGGAGTTTTCCTGAATTAAACCTATAAGAGGCATACAAATCTACTGGGAGCCATACATTTTAATGATTTAATATCTTATTCAGTGTAAATTATCATAAGTAATTTTTCCTATTTTTGTAGTAAAAATAAAACACAAAAGTTGCACAGTATTCGCCTCATAACTAATCTGCAGTATGGCTAATTAAACCCCTGTATCTGAGTTTCAGACTTTTGTTCAAACACCATGAATAAGTACTCAGTCAATACAAACTACATGGTTATACTTTATCTGCAGAGTCTGAGCTCTTTGTTTTAACGTTAGCTCTGTATCTTAATAAATTTTCTCGTACCTTAACTCTGAGCACAGAAGTAAACATCCTTGCATCTTCAGATACACCTCCAATGTAGAATTTTTTCTGAAACACTGGGGGATGATCATTTTCATCCTGAATCTCAATATACACTTTAGCCGTATTGCCTGGAGGATAAGAAATAATATATTTTTAATTGGTGGCTATTCACCAGAAAAAATGCACTGGAGTAAATACTTATTATACTTTCTTTTTTTTTCTCTGAAACAATGGAAATGGCTTAAATCAGAAAGTCATTCCTGAATGGCAAGTCTAATCTCCCAAGGTCCACAGAGGACACGGATAATGATGTTTCTGGCATAATAATGTAAACTTGCTGTTATTTCTTTTAATTACAATGTCTTGGTAATTCATTTTACTTGATTTAATAGGCACTAAAGTATTGTGTTCTGCTAATTTTAATGAAACAATTCAACTGTTCACGCTCACAAACACTTCACACACAACACCAACTACACCAAAGTGACACAAACCTATAAACACCTTATGAAATAAGACAAGTTGACATCAACTAAAAACAGATTTTTTCCTTAAATATAAAACTAGCAATGATATTCTTTCAGTTTAAAAACATACAATTTTTTAAAAATTTTAGGGTGAAAAGTAAACAGTCGTTGGGTGAGGGGCTTATTTCCACAATGAGAAACCAAGTTTAATCATATGTTACAGGCTGTCGTTCACCCACAGAAAAGATGTAGCTGGAGAGATCACTGTCCTGTGACTCATCAACACTGGTGTGTGATGTCTACCATACTAAATATACCATAAGGAACATATTTCATCATCAAATGTTAGAATCTCACCCCCTCAATCATCATTCCTTTGATGAGAAATGTAGCACCTGTCACTAGTCCACAAATGACCCTTTACAAAGAACCCGATATATAAAAATAACTCGGGGTGCCTGGGTGGCTCGGTCGGTTAAGCATCTGCCTTTGGCTCAGGTCATGATCCCAGGGTCCTCAGATCGAGCCCCGTGTTGGGCTCCATGATCAGCAGGGAGTCTGCTTCTCCCTCTCCTCCCCTCTCCTGCTCTTTCTCAAATAAATAAATAGAATCTTAAGAAAAATGTTTGAAAACAACTCACAATCCAGAAAAAATGTGGAATAAGTGGGTAATCATTTTGCAACAAGTAGATTGAAATGATAAAAGTATTCTGATGTCTTACCAACATGAACTTTTTTCATATATTTCAGGTAGCATCAAATATAGGGCAATTGAGCTACAAATTACTTATCAGGGATACCCTAAAGTTGTTGCTCTGTCCTATCCCCGACTACATCTAACACCAATCCACTAGCATGGCAGGCACATCGTGGGTGTACAATATATCTGTGTTGACTGAATGGATGAAGGAATAACCTGCATTTTCTTAGAGAGAACTGAGAAACAGGCTGCTTTCTGCTTGCCTGAAAAAGGTCAGAGATGCAAGAGAGTTATCATCCCTGAGGTTTTAACCCTACCTGGCTGCTACCCATTTAGTTTCCCTCTTATTTGTCTCGTTCTCGCCATCCCTGACCTGGAAGAGTCAGAATCGAGAGGAGGGTGTGCTAGGTCAACAGAGAAGGTGCCAGGAGGGAAGCAAGGCTAATGGCAGAGTTTGCTTGCGGTGCGGGGTGGGGGGGGCTCTGAGCTGCACCCTGGTTGGCCACCAGCCTAGTTCTGCCAAAATGAACACCACTTTCATCTTACTAGCGGACCATTTTTATTTCTGGAATCAAAGGACCTAACAGCTCTCAATTTAATATGTTTTAACAAAAGCAATCCCAAACTACAATATCACCTTTAAACGTTTTTTTTTTTTTTTTTTTATGTTCTTAATTAATGACCACATTAGCTATGGTCCCTATTGGCAATACTTGAGAAAGTGAAGGCTGATCTTAAACTCACTGTAAAGGAATAAATTTATGCTGAGATTTATCTGCTTTTCTCCTGACACTTTATAAGATGATGACAGAAGATTAAGGCTCAGGCACAAACATATTATGCCATCAGGAACAATTTGTGCTTTAGCAAATCTTTTAAAAAGCGAGTATTTCCTTAAGTATTGGGGAAAATAATGTGAGAATCAGTGTTGTAATTTAAAGTGACACTTACATGCTAATAAACATATTACATGTATGCATTTTATAAATTCCCAGAGAGACTGCAGTAATATAATTTTAAAATACCAGTTTAGTAGTTACTAAAAATCTCTAAAATTAACATCCGTAGAAACATCTAGATAAATATCTATCTATTTACACTAATGATATTCAATGAGTGTAAATTTTCTGTAAAATAATTTATCCTGCTTTAACCAGACTGAAGTTTTTCAGGATTTCCTTTTATAAAATACTCATCTCACAAATATCATTATTACCATGTAAGATATCATGCTTTCGTATCAACTGTGCTTAAGTCCATATTTGCTATGAGACTGATACAGAATTTAACCATATTTCACTTGGTGCTTTAAATCATAAAATAAATTGTGATAGTATTTCCAGGCCATAAATTATATGAGGAGAGCAAGCATGATGATGGGAGCATAATCACAGGACTGAATTCCTGTTTGAATTTTTCTTGTAATTTTTATTTGCTAGGTTTGGGCATTTTTAACTTTATATAATAATAATAATAAAAAATATATGTCTATGTAACGTACCTACTTCTCTCAGTTTTTTATTGGTTGCTCTTCTTCTTGCCTCTAACGTCTTTTTAATATGATATGGGTTAGTTTCTCCTCTTGATTTTTAAAACATTTGCCTAACAACCCTGCAGTTTAATAAAATTGTACTGGAATTGGATCATAAATCTGTGCTACTGAACTGCATAACTGATTTCTAACTCACCTGCCCGGAAAAGAAATGGAAAGAAAATATTATAGGTATTTTATATTTACTCATTTACTTATTTGCTGTTGAGTTCCATGTAAGTTTCATCTTGGGTTATTTTTATACCCAATAACTTTATCATAATCATTACTGCCTTACTGCATTTCACACTAGAGTTTTGTGTGATCACAATTTTATTTATTTAATTAATTTATTTTTTTAAAATGTCATTTTATTTTATTTATTTTTTTATTTTTTTAAGATTTTATTTATTTATTTGACAGAGAGAGACACAGCGAGAGAGGGAACACAAGCAGCGGGGAGAGGGAGAGGGAGGAGCAGGCTTCCTGCCAAGCAGGGAGCCCGATGCGGGGCTCGATCCCAGGACCCTGGGATCATGACCTGAGCCGAAGGCAGACGCTTAACGACTGAGCCACCTAGGCGCCCCCAAAAATGTCATTTTATTTTAAAGGTTTTATTTATTTATTTGGGAGAGAGAGACAGAGCATGGCAGGAGGGAGGGGGCAGCGGGGAAAGCAGACTCCCCACTGAGCAGGGAGCCAGATATGGGACTTGATCCCAGGACCCCGGAATCATGACCCGAGCCAAAGGCAGACATTTAACTGACTGAGCCACACCAGTACCCCTTAAGGATTTTATTTTAAATGACCTCTACACCCAATATGGGACTTGACCCCCACAACCCTGAGATCTAGAATCACATGCTCCACCCAGTGAGCCAGTTGAAGCCCCCACAATTTTATTGAAATAGGAGAAAAAACACAGCACCAAAGGGTAGTTAATAGTATAATTCTTTTTTTACATCTATAGGAACCTATTTAAAATATTTTTCATTTTATTTATGACTTTGTCCAACATAAACATTTTCTTATTTTGATAGTTCCTTATTTCTAATTAGAAGTTGAAGAATTTAAGCCCAGATTCACATCTTCACATGGTCTTCCTATGTCTAGCTAAAATTCCATACTGGGAGCTAATGGTTACTGGGTGGTATGTGGTGGGCATCGTTCCAAGATGTACAGGAGAATACAATCCAAGAGACAGAGCTATTATCACAACTATTGTTATTCTCAGCTTCATGCAGAAAACTGACATGAGAATGAGGTTAGGGGCTGGCCTGTGTTCTCTCTGGCACATGGTTGGGCTGAGACTGGAACCCATTATGGGACAATAGGATGCAAGCATGGACATCTGCTTGCTGTTGCCTCTAGCTCCTTGGGAAAAGGGCACATTTGTGTGCCCTAACATGACTGAAAAGAAGTTTCAGATTTATTGCTGGCCAACACTTTTGATTGATTTCAAACAACACTTTAAAGATTACAGTCGCAAACACCTCGCATTTCTTTAATTTCTCACAAGGAGCCTTTGTACCTTGCAGGTACCAGCCATGCCCAAGACACCCTCACTGATGCCCCACAGGTCATTTCTTCCCCCCGCCCCATGTTTGAGTTTCCACACAGCCCTCAATACTGTCCCAGATGACTTTAGTGCAGTGTTTATGATCGGACTCCCCAGTTACCATACAAGTATTTGATGGCCTGTTCTAGATCACATTTTTATTGAACAAGTAAACACATAAATACATTCACTGATCAATAAATTTTAGTATTTTGCCTTTGCTGGTTATGATCCCAGTCCAGTCATTCCCCCTCAGGATAATAAATTTTATGAGTTTACAATGTGTTGCGTGAAACACAATGTTGCCTTATGTGCCTGGAATTTACCTGCTCCCAGTTTAAGAAACGTCCTCTAACGGTCAGGGGTCAGATTTGGCCAGAAGATAAAAGAATATCTTAAGGATACAGTTCCTAAGGTAGAAAATGAAGTGGGAGGGGGACTCATGGATGAACCTGCAGGGCATTTTGCCGAATTAAGTCAGACAGGCAAATACTGTATGATCTCACCTACACATGGAACGGGGACAAGTAGAACTCATGGAAATGACAGTAGAGTGGCGGGGGACATGGAGGGTGGGTGTTGATCAAATGGACAAATGTTCAGTGACAAGATGACCACGTTCTGAAGCTCTAGTGGGCACCATGGTGACTGTAGTTTCTCATACTGCCTCGTATATCTGCTGAGAGTAAATCTTAAATGTTCTCACCACACGCACACACACATGCCCATGCACCCATGTGCGCACAGGTGAGTCAATGGACGGTAACCGTGTAAGGTGACGGATCCAAGAACTACTTTTATTGTGGTAAATCATTTCACAATACATATGTATATCAAATCACCATATTGTACACCTTAACAATTTAATTTCC